TAAAGATTGAATTTTGTGAAAAAGTTCTTTGATTTTCACAATTTAAAGTGAGAATATATTTATTTTTTCCATGAGTAGGTAGCCCAAAGTATTCTCTTCAAAAGGGAGTCAGCGACTGGCATACAGTAAGCTTTGCTAAAGATTTGAGATTCTGGATATGAAAAACCGTCTAACATCATCAAGTTGTGATAGACATAACGCATTTTCTCTACTGTGTCTGAAACTAATGTCCTCAAAGCTTCGTCAGGCTTGGTGAAAGAGCTGGAAAAACTGCATATCTGCCAAGTTCGACCGAACTTTGAGGATGTTTAACAGATTAGACAAAATCTAACATTACTTTCGGATAGATTAGAGAAAATTGGTTCTGTCTATCACAAAAGCTTTTTCGTTTTTGTTGGTTTTTCATATCCGGAATCTTAAATCTTTTACATAGGGTAGAAAAGCTTGGTGAATATAAATAAGCAATATATAAAGAATATATAAATATATAAATAAGAATATATAAATAAGCAATATTTTGATTTTCAACGATTTGGGTGCTATGGCGTTCTCCCACCTTCACCAACTGTTCTTTTAATTTATTATTCCTGTCCAATAGATCTATAACTATCTTATAACTATTTTTAGACATCTTTAATATAAACTTTTGGCTTTCATTGTTGGAATATAAGCGAATAAGGAATCATAAGCCGAAATATTCAATAAGAATAATAGGACTAAAGTCACCTTTTTAAACATAAGTATAAAGTCACCTTACGAAATAATTCTTCGAAATATTCAACGTCTTAGCCTATGGCCAAAGCATAGGCGATCAAATGTGCGAGGAACGAAACATGTTATCCATTTCAAATTTATTGAAATAACAATTGTAGTTAGTTTGAAACATCTTATAAAATTCGTAAATGTATGGATCGTGTTTCAATATCAGAAATAAAAGAAAAATAACAAAAAATAACAACAATCAATTCATAACAGATAACACTGAGAAAGCCAATCGTCTCGGCGAATCTCTCCAACAAGCCTTTTTTCCTTCTGTTGAATTTGATAAATCTCTTTTCGACGATATAGAAGATCAAGTTAACAAGATAGCCGTAAATCAGAGAAATTCTCTTCCTTCCTCCCTTCTTCCATCACAATTTGAGCCTCCTTTCTCGATTTTTGAAATTTCTTCCGCACTAAAAAACATGAAACCAAAACTTTCAGCCAGAAACGACAACATCTCTGGTGTAGCTATTTATAATATTTGTTTCCTTTTTAATTCTCTCTGGGTGTCTGGCACATTTCCTGACGTTTCGAAAACCCAAAAAATTCGAATGCTATTAAAAAAAGATAATCAAAACTGATCCAAATAGTTACCGCCCAATAAGCCTTTTATGTAACTTATCTCAACTCTTTGAAAGTTTAATTGCGTTAAGATTGACTCATTGGTTAACATATAACAAAATAATCTCGATCGAACAAACGGCTTTCGTAAAGGTCGATGTACAACTGACCAAATTTTGAACCTCATTCAACAGACTCAAACAGCTTTCAACAAAAGTCAACGTACGGCGGGACTTTTCATCGATTTCGAAAAAGCGTTTGACAAGGTATGGCGTAATGCCCTCCTGTTTAAATTAAAAAGTAAAAACTGTCCGGACCATCTTTTTAATATTTTACAGTCTTATTTCAAAAACAGAAAATATTTCATACAAATTTCGAATGTGTCATCTAAACTGTACAATTGCCTTTACGAGACGCCACAAGGAAGTATTCTTCCACCTTTTCTCTTCAACTTTTTCATCCACGATCTTCCGTCCTTTTGTTTCACTCCCGGCGTACGTCTTTCTCTATTCGCCGACGATATCGCTGCCTTTTGCGCTTGTTTTAATAGTGTACAGGGTGAGAACATGTTACAACTTTTTTGTGATAAAATCTGTAAATATTATAAACTTTGGCGTCTTCAAATAAGTTATGCCAAAACTGTATGCATGTTTTTTACGAAATGCCCACCCGACAGAAACGCAAAATTGAATCTGTTAATGAATAACCATGTACTAGAGCAAGTAAAGCATTTTAAATATCTAGGTTTTATTTTGGATCAATGTATGTCGCTTTCTCATCCTGTAGATGACGTGTGCCGGCGTACTCGAAAGAGACTCGGCGCTTTAAAAAGTGTGTGTGGCAGGCGTTGGGGACTTTACCCTCACACTGTTGTGTATGTATTTAACACATTCGTTTGTTCCCTCTTAACATACTCTTCTCCAACTCTTCTATGTATCTCGGACTCTAGCTGGGCCAAACTCCAACGTGTACAGAGTGCCGAGTTGAAAACCTATTACCGCTTACTGCCATGGTTTTCTACTCTCGATGTTCACATACTATCTTCGACTGAATTCTTAACTAAACTTATTCTTAAATTAGCTACATCTTTCATAAAACAAGTTACTGTAACCAATGAGCTTGTTATTTTTATTGTCAACTTATATCTGATGCATGACCGTAAATTTGAAACGAATTCTTTCCGCATGCGGTTGAATCCTATAAAAACCAATGTGTGCAGACTATTAGAATTATAGTCTAAAAATACGTTTGTATCTAACGAGCGAGTGCAGTTTACCCCTTTATTTATACTTTTTATTGTATCCGAAATACGAAAACTATTCGTTTCACAACCCTTTGATACTTTTTTTATAGAATTTTCATTTCATCTACACTGTAGTGCAAGCGGGCAACAGGCCTAGGCACTTCTCACGCAACAAATCATCATCTTATAACAGAATTTTATTTTCTGTCTATTTTCATTCAACTTATCTTTGCAATAGACGACTGGAAATCGGCGAACAGAACAAGACCAAGTAAAGAAATGTACGTCACTATGTCGCACTCACTGATCCTTCCACATAGCAGTTTTTATATTCAACATATTTCTTTAACTTTTTTCAACAAAATCACTTTCCAAGAGTACAATTTTGCAAATAGTTTTATGTGAGCTTGGTTCAATATTTATTTGTTTCAGTAGTACATGAAGTTTGATGATGAAATAAATATGTTGAATGTATGTAACTATTATGTGCAAGAGTCAGTGAATGTGACATCGACATACATTTCGTTATTTAGTCTTGTTCTCTTCATCAATTTCCAGTTGCCTGATGCAAAGTTGAATGAAACAGACAAAAAATAATTTTCTGTATTAGAAATTTTAAACTAACCACAACTGTCGTTTCAAAACAGTTAGTGTGCCTAAACGTCGACGTCAATGTCAAGGTAAAGTGTAGATCAATTTCAGTATTCCATCGATTGATCTATCGCATTCAGCTGTGGAGAAGAGAGAAAAGTAGAAACTCAGTAGTAAAAACGAATGCTGTCATTTTTTTTTTGGAAAGAGCGTAAAAATTAACCACTAACCTTGCAATAACTCTTTCTGAAAGTGCTTTAAAAATACTAGAGGCCAAACAGTCTGTTGAGGGTCAGCCTTGTTACCAAAAACTATGAATTTTCACATATTTTCCGATTTTCTCAAAAATTATCAAACTCCTATGATTCGTTCATGACTCATTTGGAAGAGAAATATTTAGGCTATAAGATCATATATTTAGACATAATAATACGTTTAACCATCTATGACTAAATAATAGAAAACTAAAACATTCCATATTTTTAAAACCGCATTTTCACAGCTTAGTGTATATTTAGTTGTTAGCTATTTGATGATTGTTTACATTAGAAGTAGACAAGAATGGTCTTTGCCGTGACGTTTTAGTGATTCTACTATAGTGACAGTCTACACTGCGCTGCGCAAAATCGGCTGTTAACCGTTGGCGAATAACCGCTGTTTGTCAGAGTAATTTGACTTTTTTTTACCAAATATATACTAACTTGTTATAAATGATTATGAAAAGATTCGGATGCATACTTTTCATTCTTTTCTTATTTCGTCAATATAGAAGGACGATGGTTTCTTCTTTCATTCAAAAAGAAGACACCTAGTTCAAAAAAGACAAGTGAGCATCACATACAGCCACGTTTCTTTATATGTATAAAACGAAAAAAGAAACTATCGTCTTTCTATATAAGCACAAGGATGACTCATAGGATGAGCAAATGGAAAAGATTGATTCTCAGTCTTTTTCATTTCACAATTGTTGCTAGAGGCCTATTAACTAAAGTTAATTGTGCCGTTCTATATTGATAGTACTTTGGTGGTCACTTTCTGACCACTTTATACTCTTCAGGGAGCTCAGAAACATGTGAATTACAGGCAATCAACTACGCTGATCATCGTGTTGATGTTTGTTCCAGTCCCCACTTAATCACAACCTCAGAAAAGCCAATTTGACGAAAACACGGTTTTTTTTGCTTGTTACCGTCAAAAATTAAAAACAGTATTTTTCACTCATCTCTCGTCCAAAAAAGCTCACATTTTCAGGGAATTCTCAGAATAGGCCATAGAATGTAGATCATGTCGAACAAATCACGTAGGGTATTCAGTTTCTGCATACACGTTTTTAGAGCATGTCTGGAAAACCTCCCACGGAATTAAAGTTCAGATCCGATGTTTTCGACATGATCTACATTCTATGACCTATTCTGAGAATTCCCTGAAAATGTGAGCTTTTTTGGACGAGAAATGAGTGAAATATACTGTTTTTAATTTTTGACGGTAACAGGCGAAAAACCGTGTTTTTGCCAAACTGGCTTTTCTGAGGTTGTGATTAAGTAACTTCGGACTATCAGCCCATGAGAAAAAGCAATACAATCCCGTTGGAAAATGGCTACAGACGGGCTAGTTTTCCAAAAATCTGTTTCAGAAAGCTCTTCTGAAAACAATTTTGTCTATAGAAACATACCTCCAAGTCTTCTCTTTTGATTGGCGAAAATCGAAGTTCTCCAGCTCTTTTCTAACAAAAGCAACCAAGTGCACGGTGTTTTGGAACCGATAATAGTTCATTTTTTTACATCTTCGAATTTTGTATGACAAAATGAGGTAACTTGGAAGCTGTTTACTTTTCTAGACTATAATGATTAAATTTGATTCAAATCTGTTCTTCATTGTGTTATTGTGTATTTTTCAAATTATCTTTAATTCGGCAAATCGGCATGATAATGTTAATTTCTCAAAAACAAATAACAACGATTTACAAAAATGTCTTTCATTGTCATTACCACTGTCAATACGTACTATTTATCCATGTAACACTTTAACAAATCAAAATAGTTCTCGATATAAATGTGATCACTTCAATGTTAGCAGTCTGTCGAGTATTCGTGGAGGTCGAATTTCTCATTCACCTGCTGTTATTGTTTATGCAACAGATAATAGCGATGTACAAAATGTGGTGAAATGTGCATCAAAATTAAATTATATTGTGAATGCATTAAGTGGAGGTCATAGTTATGAAGGCTATGGTTTAGGTTCAATTTACAACAATATTATTATTAACATGGAAGCAATTAATTACATTAATATTAATCAACGTGATAGAACTGGTACATTTGGAGCTGGTGCAAGACTCGGTCCAATCTATTACAAAACATATCAATATGATAAATACACAATTAACGCTGGAACTTGTCCATGGATAGGACTTGCTGGTCATGCACTTGGTGGTGGTTTTGGTATACTCGCTCGATTATATGGCTTACTAGCCGACAACATTTTGGAAATGACAGCCGTTAATGCTCAGGGTAAATATATTTTAGTCATATCATCTGTCTTAAACAGAAACTAAAATCACAGGATAGAACATGTATTGTTCTAATGTTTTTGTGTCACTACAAGGTACATAAATGTCGTTCGTAACTAAGTTCTAGTTACATATTCTGCTTTTATTGGCAAAAATTCTTTTTCCAAAAAACTATCTTCGTTCGGTTTCGATATAGATGTATTCATGTGGGTAAAAACAATGATTCTTAAAAAAACAAAGATTATTTTTTATGTGATGATAAGATGATTGAGACGTTCATAATTATTATTAATACGCTAAATGGAGCTAACAACAACTGAATAAGTGAGAACGTGATGTATGTGCGGATGTTCATTGACTGCTAAGGGTGAGGGATTCTCCCATCGAGATTTTTCGCTCAGTTTGCAGAACACACTTTGAAACCTCGGAATCAACATTTTTTTCATTTTAAAAAATTCCAGTTTTTTTTCAAAATTTTTTCAAAAATAAACTTTAAAGTTAAAGCTGGTGGTTTTTTGCCCACTATCTTTTGGTTTCGTATTTTATCTTGTATCTATTTACCGAAATGACGCCATTTCTTTAAATGCGATTTAACCAAGGTTTTGGTTATCAAAGGTTTTTCTCTACACTAAAAACCAAGAGTTGAAGGATTGATCTGAAAAGTCAGTGACGGCTGCGAAAATAATCAGTCCCAGTCAATTCTCAGCCCATTAGAATCTCACTCTCATGAGGCGACCTCGAGAACCGTCACAAGCTTTGTCAGCCAGGAAAATCAGTTTTTGAGAAACTCTAAAAGAATCAAAACCTATCTTAATAAGCCATAATTGTAGCCCACAAATTTCTGATTAAAATGAGATATCTAGCAGCTCTATGCGACCTTTCTTTACAAAGTTATAGAATTTACAAGAAAAGTCCTGAATTTATCTTTTCTTGTTTCTATAGCTTTGAGCTGACAAATGAACATTTAGGGCTTTTCTTGTAAATTCTATAATTTTACAAACAAAGGTCGTGTAGAGCTGGGAGATATCTTATTCTAATCCGAAATGTGCGAGCTACAATCAGGTCTCATTAAGAAAGATTTTGGTTTTTTTTAAGAGTTGCTCAAAAACTGGTTTTCTAGAAAACCACTCTCTGAAAGTCCCTCGGCAGCTACTACTATGATATTTAAATTCAGCATAGTTGATAAATTGGAACCCACTAGGTTTGGCTGTAAGAGGAATGTGACAGTTCGCGAGGTCCTCTTGTCAGTCCAGTCACAGCCCGGTGAAAAACGTTTATTAGTTCGGACTAGGTATGCACTGAGCTTCGAGTTACCCGAAAACTCGAACCGAGCTACTCAAAATTCGAGCTACCCGATTTCGAGCTATCCGAAAATTAAAATCTGTTTTTTTCTGATGGGTGTTATTCTTAGGCCTCCACATTAAAGAGGATTCCATACTTTTGTACTATTTTGCATGTTAACTTCATTTTACACTTTACAGAAGTAATCTGAACTCTTACGTCCCTTTAGTATCTTGCCATAAGGAAAATTTCGTTTTGCACTTAGAGTAAGACAGTTTTGATTTCGATCGAACATTGATTATCCCAAATCGAAAATAATCGAAAATGTCTTACTCTAAGTGCAAAACGGAATTTTTCTTATGGCAAGATACTAAAGCGACGTAAGAGTTCACGTTACTTCTGTAGAGTGTAAAATGAAGTTAACATGCAAAATAGTATATAAGTGTGGAATCTTCTTTAATGTGCAGGCCTAAGAATAACACCCATCCGGAAAAAAACAGACTTTGATTTTCGGATAGCTCAAATTTCGGGTAGTTCGATCCAGCGCATGCGTAATTCGGACTGGAATTTATTCACCTCTGATATCTGATTACATCAGTTTATACCTTTGCCTAGCGAACACCGACCGAAGAGAGGTGTGAGCTTTGTCTTGGATTCAATGTCATAGAAGATCGTTCACAGATATATGTTCCTAAAGTCAAGGGATAGAACACGTATAAAACGAGCTTTATCTTGTTTTTATTTGATTGATAGCATGAATTCTATTTCGGTTCCTACATCATCATCCGTTTGTAAACTTAAAAGGACTAACGAGGGAACTATCCCTAGTGATTAAAACCGGTTGAGCTTAAAATTCGAGTTTTTCGTATTTCCATTGTAACGAACTAATCAAACGTGTTAAACAGCTGAAACTTGCAATAATGGTAGCTCTATGGATAGCCTCTATGGTATAAAAGTTTCAGACTTTAGTCTTTTGTGTTTCATGAAAAATCAAATTTTCTGTTTTTCATGGGATGTCGATGATGCCTTGTGACCTAGAAATGGAAAAATTCCTTTTTCGTGTTCAAGTCGCTTTTTCCATTGATAAAGTTAGTAAAACCATTTATTATCTCTGAGAGGATATTTTGTGAAATGTTGAATTAGACGATTAGACTTTTTTCCATTTGTTAGTCGCGACGCACCATAGAAAGGAAACGAAAAAATAATGTTGTGAGCAATTTTGTGGGTAGATGCTGTAATATTTTAATTATTATTAGATAGATTAACTTCGAACAGGATATTTATTACAACTCAAGCTAAAATACTTTCCAATATTTTTAGTTTGATCAGAAATCGTCCTGACTTTGGAGAAAGCCCTAATGTGCTTCGACTAAATCACTCTCGTAAGACGTGTTTCAAGTTGACTATAATTTAGTGATTATTTGGACCAACTTCGCCACTCTAACTTAGTCATATAAGGCGCACAAATGGAATTAATCTAAATTTTTTCGAAGCTCGGACTCCCAGATTCCGCTAGCCGGGAAGCGTGAGCTATAACACTTACCTACGTTTACAATACATTACTTGTCTAGAGAGCGTCTTGATCAAATATTTGGATTGTTGTCTTTTCCTTGACAAATGTATATCAAATATTTCTTTTAGGTAAATTATTGACAATAAATAAAACTCATGAACCCGAATTATATTGGGCATTACGTGGAGCTGGTGGAGGTTTATTTGTTATTGTAACAGAATTTAAATTTCGATTAGTTAAATCTCCGTCACTCGTCACAACTTTTTCATCTATCTGGTATCCGAATGCAACAAAATTAGTAATAAAACGATATCAATCATTATTATTTAATGATAAAACATTGAATTTAAGTAATAATATATTTTTATCAATGAGTGTAAATAAACTTAATGTATCAATTTCAATAATCTATTTTGGTATCGAATTGGAAGAATGTAGTATCATTAATGTTAACAACATTACCAACTCCAAATAAAACAAATATACATAAACAAGATTGGTTGAGTTCAGTTTATGGAGAATTAAGTACTGGTAAGAACGATAGCGATTATCGACAATTATTACTTAATAATTTAACATATCCAACATATAATTTTAAAGCCAAACATTTATTTTACGAACAACCGATAAGTGATCATAGTCTTGATCAATTTATTGATGTATTAGCCTTAGGTGATGGTGAACTTTATCTGTCATTTAATCCATGGGGTGGATATATAAGTACAATTCCAGTTGATAAGACAGCATTTCCACATAGAAGTTCAAAAGTTGGTATTCAGTTTAGGATTTATTGGAATGATGGACAAGATGAAAAACAACAATTGAATTGGTTAAATCAAGTATATTTGTCTCTCTACAATGATTCAACAAAACATTCATATATTAATTACATTGACAGAGATGTACATAATTGGATGAATTATTATTATCACACGCATCAAAAACGATTAATCAATATTAAACATATTTATGATAAAAATAATCGATTTTCTTTTGAAAGAACAATACAATAGTTAGATGAGTCTGTAATGAATATAAAATTTGTATATGATATTTAGGCGTTTTATTTTTAATCATCTTTATCATTTATTTGAAAATGAAAAAGTATATTTTCTTTGTAACTAGAATGTTTGCCTTAATCACAGGAAAAAGTAGCTGTTAAAGTAATTTTGTTATCTGACATAGGATAATGGTGCATAAAAGAGGATTTTGGTCTGCTCTCTTTTTTTATTCGAAAGTGGATATTCATAGAAATAATGCGTGCACCACTCAGGTAAGAAAAAGACGCGTAAAAAGTATAGTCCGTTCGTGACTTCAAGCGTTCAGCAGTGTTCAGTTTTACAATTCTATGGAAATTCCTAGAACTGGCAATATTCGACACGTTCAAATATATACTGTTACTAACATTCTGTTCAGAATCTAGTTGAATTCTGGCAGAATTCCGTTTTAGTTCTAGACTAGTTAGAATGTGGCAGAATTGGACCAGGATCTGCCAGTTCGTAGAAAGTATCTATAGTGAAATATATCAGTTATGAAGGGAGCCAGGCCCGTGGTGGTTTCTTTCTGTCGATATCACGACAATTGCAACGATTTTTGGGAGTTTATTTATGGAAATTCAATAGCGAATTTTCAGTTTATAGAAATTCCTTCTCGAATTTCTAGTTTTCTACAAAATTATTTATGGAAATAGGAACTTGATTTTCCAGAAACTGGAAATTCGAAGAGGAATTTCTATAAACTAGAAAATGCTCGAGAAATTCATATACCAATTCTTTGAAATTCATCCAGCATTTTCTACAAACAATTATCTCGTTTACAGTGTATCAGCATTGCTACAGTCGCGGCTGAGATGGTCGCCTTACACTTCCATCTGTGTCGATGGACGAAGTTAATCTGACCGAGAAGAATGAAAACAAAGAAATAGAAGCACTCTACGAAAGACTTTTGATCAAAAGACAATTTTTTGCGAAACTGGGTAGTTCCACCAGAAATCTAAAATAAGAAAGTAAAATGGTAAACCTTTTCTCGTTATACCATCCACTTTTAAGTAACAACAGTATATGTAATCAATTCCTCTCTTTATAAGCTATCGATTGATATGTAATACATATCAATCGATAGCTCCTGACACGGTTGAGGATATCTTATTAGTTAGACCAGTTCAAAAAATACTTGAATGAAAACCAAATTTTTTTACTTAGATATATTGTTTAGTTATCTGTCACTTTTCCTTCCATCTTATGTTACTATTCTTTGTACATTTTGTTTATTAAAAAGATTACCAGGCATCTACAGACCAGGCCAGGGTAGGCCGAGAGCAATGGTAGGCAGGCAGGCAAGGCCCAGGAAATGTTTCGACAGGTCCCGACAGATCTAAACATTACAGGCCTGACTTAGGCAGACCAGGTCTCAAAATTGTCGGCCTGTTTCGAACCCTGACATGTAAACCAACTTTTGAATGTAAACAATTGCTTGATGGTAGAGCTTGTATTAGTATCAGTGCATGAAAAATGGTAAACTTTTGATGAGTATAAAAAAAATGACTATATTCCCAGGCAAATTCAGATGAGCAGATTTGTAGTGCTAAACATGCTCTACAATTAGGCATTAGCCGTTTTTCAGCCGTCTTAATAGTTGTTGAAATTCTCGACAACGAGGTTCACCAGTAGCATAATTGCGGTCGCTCTTTTCTATAACTCGCCTAAGATACATCAGAAAATGTTGAAACTTGCTACTATGGTCTAATTTTACATGGAGATTCTGAATTTGATGGAAAAAAGTAAATTAATCATATATCCGGCCCCTAACGATGGCTTACATATGCTCTTGGATGGTGAAGAAGAAAAAGAATTGTTTTAAATGTACTCTTTTATTTCTTTGACTACTGTTAATATGTACTTCATACTAAATTAATAGAGCTAAAATCTGATAGAAAAACCTTGGTAGGGTAGCACCTATTGGTGCTAAAATGTGAAACCCATAATTATTAATCAAGTAAAGTCTCTTTTCAGTTCGTGTAAAGGTATTTTTAAGATTACGTAAAGGTATCATCGGCAGTCGCGTAAACTTTTCAGAGCACGTAAAGGCTTTTTAAGATCTGATAGGGGCCACTTTAAGAAAGTGTAACTTCGTATTTAAGTTTAAGATCGGGGAAGCAAGGGGATGATAGGTAAAAATTAAGATAAATACTCCGGGCTTTGGAGTATAAACTGAAGATCTTTCTTCTCGATATGACATGAAAAATTTCACAAAAAACTATTATTTTTAGGAGTATTCATGACTGCATCGTACTCGAACTGCGTGACTTATTTTCGGACCTACATTACTGGTCCAAAATAAACTTTCTCTCATGGTAATCTGGCATATGCACCATCTGAGAGCAAAAAACTTAATGGAGGCTGCGGCTACACGTTAGAATCCTTCAGAAAATGTCCAAGGAGAAAAAAATGTATCCTCACGTAACCGTGATAGAAAACTGACACATAAACGCAGAGGCACCAGCAACTAAAGTCAGATTTAACATATAATCAAAAACCCATAGAGAGTAAAAATAAAGCAAAGAGCGATATAACGTCGCTGTAAAATCATGTAAAGCCAGCCTTCAGATAGCGTACATACACATCTAATTACAACTCTCTGTCTGACTCTCTAAAAGATGTGCATAACGTTAAGATGGCGTAATGGTCAGTTTAAGATCGTGTAAAACACAGTTTAAGATCACGTAAAGGTACCATAGCCAGTTGCATAAACATTTTCAGATCGCTTAAGGGTCTGTTTCAGATGGCGTAAAGGCCATTTTAAAATCGTGTAAGGGTACTTTTTAAGTGTATGTAGGCAGGGGGAGGGGTGGGTCTGAAATAACTAGTATTCGTCTGGTTTTTGAGTATAAACTGAAACTCCCTCTACTTTGTAGGATAGGCGGAGTTTCACAAAAGGTAATCAGAAATCTTCGATGGCTTGTTGGGTATTAGGGGATACGGATTTTTAAGTCTTTTCGCAGATTTTGGCTTATTAAGTAAGTTAGAAATTTTCTTTTGAAAATATTATAAGACAGAGAAGCTGGTAATGTTACTATAAGTTATCCTGTGAAGTCTACTTTTATACATGAGATTCACTTGTGCAGTACTTTTCCATTTTTAAAAAGAAACAAAAGGAATAATCTAATTAGAATATACTATATACACATGCGCAATCTATATCCATATTCAATGGTGCTAACCTTTTTTTCATTCTCTCATTTACAGTCTATTTTCAATCTAACCTGTTAGACTGCTGATAAAACGCTCTCTTGGGAGATATGTTTTCTATCTTGAATTTTCTAAGGATGATTTAAAAGCTCCTTTTTTTATCGTAGAACACTCATTCTGAGAGAAACACAGCGTAATAGTTTAAAGCAAAACGAAACGCCCGTTTCTGAAATTTGTCGAGTATGTTTTTTGAGTAAAAATGACGGAGGCTGGCTGAACAGAAACGAAGATATCTGTGGCGCTAAGACAAAGGAGTTTCATTTTTTTAAATGTGTCATTTCTGTCTCATTAGCAGTTCTCGGTGCAAGAAACAAATAAAAAATTTAACGGTATTTTCTAGGAAAATAGTTGAATCAGAAGTTGAAGACGTGTAAAACTCTATCGTAAATTATCTCAGAGCAAATATAGGTTGAAAATTTGATAGAGAGAGAAGCTGTAAGTAGACTGACAAAACATGAATTGTTAGGTCAACATCACCTACTACTATTCTGTACATATTATATATAGAAAAGGAACAACACATTTCCTCACCGCAGTTGACTCCTGCGAGGCACTTCCGAATCCCTTCTCATCTGCCCCATCCTACAGGATGATGGATTTTGGGACAAAAAAGAATGTACGAGCTTGGTGTTATAGGCTCAGCATAAATTTCATATTCTGGGCTTGGACTTAGAGACTCCAGGCAAAAGGAAAAAATTATGTCTCATGATGATATCTAGCAGAATCTAGAAAATAATCTTCAATGAAAATATTAACAATGCAATTAGTTTTGCGCCACCCATTATCAGTCAATCAGTTCAATATGGATTAATTTCATTTTGTGCGACTACTGTTCATAAGAAATTGTCAAAAGAACTAATTGAAAAAAGAAGTTTTTATTCAATTATTGCCAATGAAACAGCACACATTCATAAGACAGGACAACTTTTTATTGCTATACCTTTTGTATCAAATAAATTACTTTAAGAAAAATTTCTTGGTTTCGTCCGTTATCTGATTTAAGAGCAAAAGGTATTCCATTAGTAATTAAACAATTCATTGATCAATGTGATCTTGATATAAATAAATTACGAGATAAAAAATGTATTATCTTATTCTTATATGTAGAATTTGTTTTTAGTTTTGTATTTAAAAGCCAAGGATATGATGGCATAAGTGTAACGGCTGGACATCTAGGTGATGTACAAAAATTAATTCGTGTTATTACTCCACCAACATTATTCATTGTTCAAGTCATTCATGTAATCTTGCAGTAATCGATGTATGTAAAATACACATAGTTAAAAGAAATGGACAAACGTCGAAATTCTGTTAAATTATGTGAAGCCTGATGGGCAGAAAAACAACAATCAATTTCAGTTTTTAAACAATTATTTCCTAGTATAAATTTCACTGCTGGAATATTTGACAGAAATATCTAACAGAAAGAGAGGACTGGACCAAATTCCAACTACAGAGAGAGAAAATAGACCTAGAGCGAAGAAATGTTTCCTAAGAATCACTAAAGAAAATGAAAGAACTTGTTGGGCCTTCCTTGAGAGAATCTTGGCTAGGTGGCTGATCCTATATGACGCATGTTCTATTGAAAGTGGAAAAGGCAGCTCCAAAGAACTAATAGCAACTTTTCAGGAGTGAATGTCGAAGCAGCGTGGCGCAGTGGAAGCGTGCTGGGCTCATAACTCAGAGGTCGGTAGATCGAAACTACTCGCTGCTACTCTCTTTTTGTTTAATAGCAGTAAAAGCAAAATCATGCTTATTTGTCTGAT